TGGGTCCCAATACTCACATGGCAGTTCACAACTACCTTTAACTCAGTACCAGGGAATCTGATGGCCTCTTGTGCCTGCTGAAAACACTGTGGAGAATATGAGCTAAACAGAAACAATAAAAAGATACCAAAAAATAAAGATATGAAAAAGAACTTGATTCTACATTTAAATCTCTGAGAGCTTTCACGTCTGATATTGAAGGAAGGGGATAGGCTGGTCTAGACAGGCAAACTCCATGATATGTAAAAGCTCTAGCAACTGCAAGCCAATCATTCATAGCTATAGCAATTGCCAGTATTTCTTTTTGAAAATACTTCTTGAGCTTTCAACCTTGTCTGGCGGTTGGCATGGTCTCAGGCTCAGTGGCAAACCGAGTTTCCTTCCTTCCCTGCCAGGTCCCAGAGTTCACCCTCATGGCTCCACTTGTTTCCGCAGCCTGGCTCCTGGGAACCAAGAATGCATTCTGCCTTGTTCTTGCTGCCTGGCATGCCAGTGTTTCTTCCATGAATTTGAAAGAAGTATTATCCAATATGATACCTAAGGAGCAGGCCAGAATTAAAGCCAAATGGCAAGACAGTGGTGGGATAAATCACCTGTGGACATGATGTGTGCAGGCATGAGAGACATAAATGGACTTGTATATGAAACATCAGTTCTAGATCCTAAAGAGGCCATCCGATTCTGGGGCTATACTATCCCTGAATGCCAGAAAATGCTGCCCAAGGCAAAAGGTGTGGAAGAAGCCTGCCTGAGGGTTTATCTTGGGTGCTGGTAACTAGACAGAGCCCCACAGAGGAACAGGTATCTTGGCTTTCACAAGAATGGGTGAAAAGGGCAGCTCTGCTTTCTCATGTGGTTGCCATGCTAGACAACTTTCCCTATCAATCCACACCCAATGTCTCAGCTCAGTGCAGCTGTTACAGCCCTCAAGAGTGAAAGTAAGTTTTCCTGGGCTTATGCAGAGGGAATCAACTGAACTAAGTACTGGGAGTTGATTATGAAGTCTGTGGACCCGATTGCAATGCTACCTTGTGTTGCAGAAGAAATCTACCAGAATCTTTATCCAGAGGAGAGCAGTATTGGGGCCATTGACTCTAAGCTGGACTGGTCCCACAATTTCATCAACATGTTAGGCTATACTGAGGCTCAATTCACTGAGCTCAGTTCACTGAGCTCAATCCACAGTGACCATGAGGGTGGTAATGTAAATGCCCATACCATCCACTTGGTGGGCAGTGCCCTCTCAGACCCGTACCTGTCCTTTATGGCAGCCACGAATGGACTGGCAGGGCCTCTCCATGGTCTAGCAAATCAGGAAGTGCTTGTCTTGCTAACACAGCTACAGAAAGAAGTTGGCAAAGATGTGTCAGATGAGAAATTATGAGATTACATCTGGACTACTCAATAAGGATGGGTTGTACCAGAATATGGTCATGCAGTGCTAAGGAAGACTGATCCATGATATTCCTGTCAGCAAGAGTTTGCTCTGAAACACCTACCTAATGACCTCATGTTTAACCTGGTTCCTCATATGTACAAGATTGTGCCCAATATCCTCTTAGAGTACAGGAAGGCCAAGAACCCTTGGCCCAATGTAGATGCTCACAGTGGGGTGCTGCTTCAGCACATGGCATGAAGAATTCCTGCACAGTCCTGTTTGGGGTGTCTCAGGCACTGGGAGTGCTGGCACAGCTCGTATGGAGCTGAGCTCTAGGCTTCCCCATCAAAAGTCCCATGTCCATGAAAATGAATGATCTGATGAAATTTGTGGACTCTAAGTCAGGGTAAAATGAGAGATTGGGGGGAGAAACTGACAAGAAATTGGATAAAGTTTAATTTTGTCGTGTTTCAATAAAAAAGGAATATTCCTCTATGATTCATTGACTGTTTCATACACTATATGTTGATCATTTTCAACCGTCCTCTTCCCCCATCTACCCACTGACTCTACTATCCTTCTATTATTATTTGTTTTTCACTATGACCTCGACCAGACAAAGACCCACCTGGCTCTGCTTCCTGAGTGTTGGGATTAAGAACAAGCACCAACAGGACTGGCTAATTTTTTATTTTATTAAAAACCTTTGGAGCCTAATTTTTGTCCTCCAAATGCATTTCACGGTGGGTCCATCATTTAGAAACTAGCTAACCTACCTGGTTCATGCACCTAAAGAAAAAAGACTCTCCCTATCTCAGCCACTGTTAACTGCCAATTGACCCTCATCTAGGCCTGGGGCTTGTGGACACTTCCCCAAACATGCTAGTGTTTTTTATGGCTTGGTTATGAACAAATTGATATGCAGCTGCCTTGTTATGGCTGAACAAAATAGTTTTTTGGTTTTTATTCACTTACCGTCTCAGGCTCTTATAATCTGCTCACCCTCCATCCCACTATGATCAATGAGCCTTAGGAAGACAGGGTGTGATATACATGTCTCATTTAGGGCTGAGTACTACAGAGTCTCTTATTCTCTGTAGTTTTAAAGTTGTGGACTTTGTGTTAATTGCCATCTGCTTCAAGAAGACACGTGTTTGATGTGGGTTAAGAGACATGCTGTTTCTTGGGTATAAAAATAAGTCATTATGAGTAGGTTTAATACTATGCCTATTTAGCAGGATAATAGTAGTAGGTTCTTCCCTGTGGCCTTTGACCTGTCTTGTCACAAGATCTTGGCCCCCAAAACAGTGCCCAGCTATGAGTTTCATCTTGTGAAGGAGTCCTTAAATTCAACCAAAAGGTGGATGATTACTCTTTCAAAATTCATATCACTATTACACCAGTGGGGCGTATTTTGACAGGCTACTTATTACAGCTCACCAGATTCCCAGCTGAGTAATGATGATGAATTTTCCATGTATAGCACCTCTTAGCATAACGAAAGCTTGCTAGTAGAGATGAAGCTTCAAGGTCAGTGCTAGCTTGATCTCCCATTATTCTATTATTGATGTGTACAGTGGCTTCAGCAATAGGGTCTTACCGCGAAGTTCTGTGGGTCATGCAATAGTAATGGCAGCAGTGAGTATTATTTGATGGTCTATGAGAGACTACTGGTCAAAAACTCCAAATAGGGAGCCCATTCCTGACACAGGGCTTTTTATTTTCTGGCTTGTAGTGTCTGCTCAGGCCATTGAATCTTTTACAGGGTAACACCATTTAAATTCTTTTTATATTTTATATGTATATATTGCAGGACATTTCTATCACAGTAGATTTCTATATGACCATTTCTAAAAGCTTTTATTATTAGTTATTCCTCTTTTTACACACTCTTCTGCCCTGCCCATGCATTTCCACAACAGTTAACGTTTCCTATTTCATTCCTTTTCCACTTATATCACTGCATTCTAATTCCACTCCCTTAACCCACAGTCATAGCCCCTTATTAGTTTTCTGACTTCTGTGGACAAAGAGGCCAAAAAAAAAATCCAAGTGTAAACAGTATGTTTCCTAAATGGTGCTGGTTAAGTTGGATAGCTAGAGGTAGAATAATGAAATTAGGTCCCTTCCTCTCACCCTGAACAAAACTCAACTTCAAATTGATCAAAGACCTCAACATAATATCCAATACCCTGAATTAGATAGAAGAGAATGTAGGAAATACATCGCAACTTATGGACTAAGAAAGGACATTCAAAACAAGATCCCAATTGCAAAGGCTTTCAGATCAACAATTGACAAATAAGACCTCATGAAACTAAAAAGAATCTGTATAACAAAGTATACCATCACTCAAGTGAAGAAGCAACCTGCAAAATGAAAAAAAAAAAAACCAAATCTTTATACCACCTATTCCTCCAACAGAGGGTTAGTATCTAGAATATATAAAGAAATCCATAATTAAACTTCAAAAGAAGCAAGCATCCCAATTAAAATTGAGGGAACCCGAGGTATGGTGGCATGTGCCCTTAATCCTAGCTGTAGGAAGGCAGAGGCACAGGGATCCCAGGCTTGGCCACATAGTGAATTCCAGGCAGTCTTTGACTAGGGAGGCCCTGTCAGAACAAACGAATGGGCAAAAAAAGCCAAAAAAAAACCCAAAAATATTAAGGAAAGAACTAAACAGAGAGTTCTCAAAAGGTAAAACATAAATACCTAAGAAATACTTAAATACATGTTTAACATCTTTAGTCATCAGGGAAATACAAGTTACAACTACCTTGAACTACTCTAATCAGAATGGCTAAGATAAAATATAATGACAAATTCTCATTAGGATATGGGGAAAGGGAACACGTAGTCACTGCTGGTGGGAGTGGAACTTGGTGCAAGCCCCGAGGGATTCAGTGTCAATGCTCCTCAAATACCTAGGACTAGAGCTAATGCTTTATCTAGCTACACAACTCTTGAGCATATGTCCACCGTACTCTGTTTCCTAATATAAAGATTCTTGTTCAACCACATTTATTGCTGCTCTATTCACAATAGCCAGGAAATGGAAACAACCAAATTGACCAGTAAATAATGAATGGATAATGAAAGCTTTGCACATTTACACAATGAAACATTATTATGCTGTTAAGACTAATGAAATTATGAAATTCTCAGGTAAATGGATGAACATGGAAACAATCACCTTGAGTGAGGGAAACTATACCCAGAAAGAAAAACCTGTTGTCTCATAAGTGGTTACTATCTTTGAATCTTAAGATAGGTATATTTCAGTTGGGAAAATTATATGTAACTCTTTAGGTATACTATTTAAATGCTTTGGGCTTAGACAATCAGAACAGTTATGTCACTTATTACTCTTATACAATAAGTATGTCTTAGGATACCCTTTGGTGAACAAAGGAATATGGGCTTTAAATGAAAATTTTAGAAAACCAAATAAGTAATATTTAACATTTTCTACACATATCTTGTCTAGCTTGGTGATTCAATGCATTTATTGGGGTTATACACAGGAGTACTAATGACTCAAAGCTGACCACTCCAGAGAACTGTACCCTTATAGCTCCCTGCCTAACTTGGAGTCATTCTCCATTAAGAGAGTGTTTTCTTCCCCATTTATTTGCTGTACAAGTCTCAGTGATGGAAACAGTTATTCACATGGGATAAAGCAATATCTGGCCACTGTAAACTGAATGGAAGTAAGGACTCTAACTCTTCTGCATTGTCTAGATAATGTTCTTGGTGCAGAATGTTTGGATGCCTTGTGTGAGCAGGATTTAGTCAACAGTGCTTGCAATACATTGATGTATTGCTTTCTTTTCTAAAATGCTATAACTTAACTTTCTTAAAAAAGAAAATGTCCTTTTCCTAAAAATGGTTGAGTAATTTTAGAACCTTGGAGGTACAGATGTCTGACCATCCTGAGTAATCTAAGTTTTGTTAGCTCCTTCCTTCCTGTATATAAGTTTTTAATTCAGATTTACCAGCTCCACAACATATCTTCAGAGGAATTTTTGTTTTCTTAAAAAAAATACCTATATGTAGCATCTGCTAAATACTTTCCATACTTAATTTACATCCTCTAAACATTCTTCTCAGAAGTTATTTTCTTTGGCTTCGTGTCCACTTACAAATGACAGAAATGTAGCAGTACTATGCACTGATTCTTAAGAAACCTAGATTTTTCAAAACTTAAGCTTGTGAGTTTTTTCCTGTAAAAATTTCTCTCTTCAGGAAGGGTTGCATTGCCATTTATGCTCCAATTGTTCCTATTGCTTCCCGGGGTAGCTGATTTATTTAGCAGTCTAAACTTGGAGAGAGATTAAAGTGACACAGTTTTATAGTTCTTCAATACCCTTTTTCAGGAATGTTCTTCAGAATGCTCGTTCCTCATCTGAAGAGATATTTTCGGAAGATTTCAAGCTTTTTGATTATATGCAGTGATAAAACATTGAACCAATTTAAATTGCTAAATGCATGTTCTTCTTAAAATAGCCTCTTATGTTCTCCTGAGGACTTGGACTAATAAGAGGGTGTTCCATCCCCTGAGTAGTTCTCTTGCCATTTGTTTCTCTCTAAATTTAGTGTGAATGCTTGCTATTAATTCAGTCTCTATGACTGTATTTAGAAAGGCACATTAACCTTCATCTGTTTTTAGATTTACTTATTTACATGTTATTCTAATATCTATAACTATCTTCAAGTAATTATCAGTGTGTTATCTATGTGCTACTGTGACTAAACAACTGAGATAGAATCAAGTTAAATGAACGAAGTTATTGTAGCTCACTTTCAGAGTCTATGGTTACCTGACATTGTGGCTTTGGGCCTGTGTCTGTGAGTGCAGGAGGGTATGTCAGAGGAGGCTGGTATGCTTCACGGGAACCACGAAGGAGGTGGAGAAGGGGCAGGGTCCAATATTTACTTCTAGAACATAACTCTAGTACCTAACAGCTTCTGTACATGGGATTCTGGAGGGCTATAATAGACAGTATCTTCAATATGGCAGATGTGAAAATTCTATACTTCTCATGTAGTACCACAGGTTGCTTTACCTACATAGCTTCCTGTTAAAAATAATGTCCAAATAAGTCCAGTACTTATTCCCCCTTCCACCTAACCCTCATTTCTGTGCTTTACTTTCACTGAGTTCACCCTCTTGAGGTGGGTGACAGCAGTTCAGAAAAATTATGCTTTGCCCAATAGTATCACTAAATAAACATAGAAGTGCTTTATCTCTGATATGAGACAAAGCCAGAGAAGCACATCATCTCCCCTCAATGAATTTTCCAATATTTCCCAACAAGAATAGAACAACTAGCTAATGCTGGTGGATGATAAATTTTCAGGTGGTAATTTGTCAATCTTCCATTCTTCTGGGACATTTTTATCTCTTCAACTGTTTCTTTCAGAAAGTGACCAGCTTCACTTGACTTGTATGTGTACCTGAAAATTAGTTTCCTTCAAGGAAAAAATGAACCTTCCTTGTAGCTCAATGACATAATTTCAGCATCTTAAACCTTCATCTCTTACCAGCCTCTTCCCCAGTTAATTGTGTTTGTAGAAACTGGTGGTGTTGGCATGGGAAAGAAGAATGGGATGCTTACTTGGTTTTGCCAAACTTCTATGTGTGATATTAGGGGTTGCTTTGCAGATTTTCATGGACAGGAGGTAAGGAAGGAGGATTTACCTTCAAGTCTGTGTCTTCCACGCCGTCCCAGGAAAATAAGAAAATTTTATTTAATAATTGATATTATTCATGAACTAATATCCATGATATTTAATATTTATATTACATACACTTAGCAGTTATTACTTCACTTTTTGAATTTCTATCTTTTCCTTTTTCTTTCAGATTTCTAGAACAGATTTCCCTGGTTTACTATTTTCTTGTTTAATATTGTTTTAATAGAGTATTAATTATTTTATAATTATTGTTTCTTTACCTGGCCTGTTTATGCCATCATGTTATTTCTTTTGATATCTTTACCTTGCCATCAATTCTCATCATATTATTTTATAGAAGCTTCACGGAAGATATAGATGTTTTAAAGCAGGTGCTCATTAAAATTGTCAAAAATTTTGAGGGTAAAGAAAGACATACATTAAATATTCTCCCTCTCAACCTTGAATCAAAGTCAGTGAATTTCACTCTCTCGGTCTCTCTCATTACTTCCTTTCTTTCTCACCTGATGATATAAAATAGATCATATTATTTTATAGAAGCTTCACGGAAGATATAGATGTTTTAAAGCAGGTGCTCATTAAAATTGTCAAAAATTTTGAGGGTAAAGAAAGACATACATTAAATATTCTCCCTCTCAACCTTGAATCAAAGTCAGTGAATTTCCCTCTCTCGGTCTCTCTCATTACTTCCTTTCTTTCTCACCTGATGATATAAAATAGTTTTTCTTTAAACTATTACTATTATAAGTATCGTTTCTTAAACCATTGAAAATCATATAGTCTGTTCTTCCTAGTTTCACTTTGTGAAACACTTTGCATATCTTTCTTATGAGAGATACATTTAAACTTATTCCCTGGTTATATAGTATCCATTAAGAACTATTAGATATTGAAATAGCTCCACATGGATAGATAGCAAAAAGATTTTAAAGACATTATCTTTGTACATGCTACTCTAATAGTTGTAAATTGAGTGTTTGTCATTCTGGAACTCTGTAATATCCTCCATCTGTTACAAAAGAAACTTCCTTGATGATTGATGTATGGTATATTTGTCTGTAAATATAAGTATTCAGTTTTAGCATACAGCAAGAAATTTCATTTGTCTAGAGATTTAACAGAGATAGGTTTTTTTTTTCTAGGATTTAAGACCTCTCTGGCCATGTGTATTGGCTATATTTACAGTGCCACCAGTTAGTTTCCTCCCATTGAGAGGACGTTAAGTCCAATTAGATAGCTATTGATTACCCCTATATAAAAAGGACACTACTATCCCAATAGAGATAGTTTCTTCTGCCAGTCATTGTGGTTATTGGAGTTTATAGCTGGGTTGAACCACTGTCTAATTTTTTAACCTTAGCATCTTACATAGTATCATCTAGAATCATGGGAGCTAGTCTTCAGGAAGAAGGCTTCCAGGTCAGTTCCAGTTCCTTTGCTCCAAGTCCTATGTCTGAAGTACGTCCTTACCTTCAATTTCTGGGGATTATCAAGGGCCGTGGCAATAGCCTGTGTTGTTTTGGGAGCCTCTTGGACTACCCTGGCCAAAAACTCAAAGGGCAATTTTTCCTTCTGTTCCATGTTATATAGCTTTCAGATATACACATGCACTCATGTTCATATATTGTATGAATAATTCTCAGGGGTTTTATTGAGTTAATACATTTCCCTCTGACTTTTATACCACAACTTTATCTCTCCTTTCTCTCTTCATTTGTAACCTCCCTCCTCCCTCCCCAGTTTAAGTGCCTGCATTTCCACCATTTTCCCTTTGATAATACCTGTCTCCTATTATAACCCCTCTCTTGAGTTCCTTCTTCCCCTTTACTCCCATAGATCCTTATATGGCCTTTCCTCCTCCCTTCCTGGTTGAATACCAGTATTCTCCCCAATTACCCTTGATGACATCTGCTTCTTACTATTCCCCTCTCTCAGGCTCTTTCTTTCATTTTACCTCCGTACTTCATTTCCATTTTCCTGTCTCTTGCTGTTACATCAGGATATATACTCACATATAAGGGATTGGTGCTAAGATTCGCAAATAAGGGAGAACATATGTTGCTTGCTTTTCTGAGTCTGTGTTCCTTCACTTAGTATAACATTTTCTAGTTCCATCAACTTATGTTCAAAGTTCATAATTTTGTCTTTCCTTACCGCTGACTAGAACTTCACTGTGTAAATGTACCACATTTTTATTACCTGTAATCTGTACTGGCTAGATTTGATAAAGCTGGAAGGTGTTACATATGCTACCAGAAGAAAAAAATAATCATGAACCCTACACAGCTATAAATCCTGAAAACTACAATAACTGGCCTACCAAGATATTCCCACCCGTGCAGTAGTTGCACAAACATTATGGGAGTAATTAATCATTTTCTAATTGGATTTAAGCTCTCCTTCACAGGATGGAGCTCATACCTGATACTAATACCAGGCCCAGGAACCTGAAGCTAGACAGGTCACAGGCCATAGGGAAGAACCTAATATTAGTTTTCTACAAAATAGTTTTAATATGAAACTGACTCTTACCCCTTATTGTTACAACCACAGATTAATGTATCTCTCAACTCTCAGTAGATAAACTTACTTATGCAGCAGATAGCTATTAACAGAGAAATCACAACTTATAAACAGAGAATAAGAGGCTGCAGAGTGCTTAACCCTGAATAGGACACCTACATCAAACTTTGGCTTTCCAGTGCTCAGGGATCATTGTGGAAAATAGGGAGGAAAAATTGTAAGAGACCAGTCGAGGTGCATGATCACAAGGAACAGAGTTTCCCAGGCAGCTGATCATTTACTCATATGAAGTCAGAGCAATGGTAACAGCATGCATGGGACCCATGCAAAGTTAAATTAGACAAAATAGCAGCATTAACCTGGAGAAGTGTGTCAAATACCACAACCCTACCTAAGTACTGTTGGTAACTGGTAGTTACTGGAATTATCAGAGATATTCATTTCCAAGGTTGTGACTGTTGGTAGGTCACAGTTGAATCCACACTGAAGGACATTTGGGAACAAGAATGAGACCCTTTATACAGGAG